CTGCTTCAGATGGTCTATCAGGAGCCCTCCCGGTGGTCCTACACCTTTCAGACGTACTCGTGTCTGAGCCGGCTCAGGGCCCAGCTGGCGCCGCCGGCCGCGCAGGCGCAGAAGACGCAGGAGCCGGTGCGCGTGTTTGAGAGATCGGTGTACAGCGACAGGTACGGAGGCGGAGCTCGGCTCCTGCTGCTCCCCCCGGCGGCCGCGGGCGAGGGTCTGCCCTCGAAAGGGGCCGGGCGTGCGGCCTCCCGCCGCTGCTGCCTGTAGCGGGAAGGAAGGGCGTGTCTCGCGGGGGGGCCCGACCGCTGCGCCCCTCAAGCGGTCTCCGGGCGGAGCCGGGAGTTCCGCCGCGGGAGGAGTGACTGAGGCTGCGGAATATGGGGGGTGGGACGGGAGCCAGCCTCCACATCCTGCTCTGAGCCCTCTTATAAAATTGGGCCCTCTGCCAGTCCTACCCTGCTTAGTGTGCCTGGGAGAAGCAGGTGTGGAGAAGGAAGATGGCTGCCGCCTGGAAGGTTTTTCCAAGATAGGAAAAGTGCATGATGAGTTCTGGTAACCTAATACGTCTGTCACAGTTTTGAGCTGGAGCACAACTCGGGGCTTAAGCAAAGGAAGACCCAGCAGATGTATTGACCTCGTCACAACTGGTCCCCGAAAGGAGGCGAAGAATCTAGACAGCATGGTCTTAGCCAAAAGAGGTTTTACATCATTTGGTACAAATGTACCTGATTGAAGAATAATTTATAAAAAGCTCAACTGCAAAAAAACCCAACAAATTACTTTTGAGCACTTAAAAGTTGGTAAAGAAAAGAGGTGTTTATTGGCTAAGCAAACACCCTAATCTAATACATTCAGGCAAGCAGCTTTCAGGGAAACTGGTAAAGAAGCCACCCAGGCCAGCTGCAGGGTCGCAGTGAGTGGGAACACGGGAATCTGCCCAGGGAGGAGCATTTGTCCATCTGGTGCCAGGCGAGGGGAGGAGGGGGATCACTGGAGACCCACTTCAGCATTGGCGAGCCCCTTGTTGAGGGATCTTTAATGTGGCAACAGCCTTTTCTAACTCTGGACATTCCACATCAACTGCAGCAGGAATGAGCTGCTACTGAACGGGATGGTTTCCTTTTGGAGGCGCAAAAGGTCCTTTCTTGTGCCGGTGCGGCTCCTTTCGGGAGTTGGGTCTGGTGCTCTCCGATGCTCTCATTTTTAAATCCATGCTGAGAGAAGTAATGACAAGGCAAGTATTTCTCTAAGATGGAGGAGAATGGGGAGGCTGAGGCACTGGTTGCCACTTTGTTCCACCAGCTTCACTGCTTCACGACCCAAAGGTTATGTGCTTATGGGGAGGCAACATAACTTGTTGCAAGAGTACTTGCCGTGCACAGAACTTTAATTCCTACCTCTATCTCCAGGCAGGGCTGGGAAAAGCTTCACTGAAACCTCAGAGAGCTGACCTGGTCAACTGCTGTTTCCTCTGCTCCTCACCTGCCAAAGCTTCGCTCGATAAGGGCAATTTCATCTTCCAGAATCTGTCTGGCGCTTATTTTTTGGCATCTGGAGACCTCGGCTGGGTCAAATGCTGCTGCAAGATTGCTGTTTTGGGAACCCTTAGCTTCTGTACTGTTCTTGCTCACTATTTTGGAGAGCAGCTTAAAGCAACTTTACAGCCCCAGTCAGTTTTGCCATGGGGTGTGTGTGAGTGAGTGAAGCACAGCCTCCTACCATCTTATGATCCAGTTTGTCCCATGATCAGCTGAGGCAGGAGTTCAGAAAAAAGATTTCTGTGGCAACTTCCTGTCCCTTGGACTCAACAGGACTTTTCTGTTGCAGAGTTTGACTCACACTGTGATGTTCTTAATCTGCTGGCTACATTTATTGTATTTTGAAATTGCTCTCAGGAATACTGTGAACTGCCTTGAGCCCTGTGCAGGAAGTGGAAAAGCAGGAGAGGGGAGAGAGTGGCAGTGCCTTTGTAGCCTTTTGTGGGGCTAAATTACAAACCTAGGAAATAATTCAGTGGGAACCATGTAGTTGCAGTGCAATTTATACCAGTTTATGTTTAAACTGAAGTGCTGTATTAGAAATCAGGGGATTGAGTTCTACTGTTCTCTTCTTAGGCATGGAAACTGGCTGGGTGATTCTGGGCCAGTCGCTGTCTCTCAGCCCAGCCCTCCTCACTGGGTTGCTCTTGGGGTAAAAGTTGCAGGCAGGAGCATTATATACACTGCCTTGAGTTGTACAAAATAAATACAGGATATAAATCAACAAATAGGCTGCAAAAACCCAGAAGATCACTGGATGGCCACAAATGATTGGAGCGTTCTGTTTCTCCTTGTGCTGTCTAGTGGTCAAATGATTTTTGCTAGCCAGATACAGCAGCCCTAATCCACCCTCCCTGTCTTTGGCTTCTGTGGCATAGTCAGCGTTTGTGGTTGTGAGATAAGGCACCTCTGTGTTCCCAAAGGAGCTAAAATCTAAAACTCCTCTCCAGGTAATTGCTTTGCATTAGTATTAGTAACAGGTTCCTTTATGGAATGTTATCTGTAATACATTTATTACTATTAATAGTAAAATAATAAATTATTTAATATTTGCTAAAGGCTGTTTTAAAAAGAAATAACAGCCTCTACTCACAATCTGATAAATATAAAACAAGTAAAAAAAGAGGAAGGATTTGATTTGGTGTGTTTTTCTATAACAACTTATCAAAATTCACAACTTCATAAAGAGATAAAAAAAGCACAGATTTAAAGAAAATGTAGAAGAAGGAGCAATAAAGGATGGATCCATCCATCCCTAGAATATCATAATTCACTAATTTTTTTTATTGTTTATGAGATATAAAGAGAGAAGAAGGCATAAGCTGCAATTTTTTAAAAGTAAGCAGTGTAAGGTGTGGCTGACAGAAAAGCAGCTTCAAATTATCAGGAAAATATTCTGGAACATATTCTTGGAATAGGCCAAGAGGACCTGCGCGCGAGCACTGGAATTGTTCTGTAGTGGCAGGATGGAAGCCGATGCCCTCTGGGCCTGGCTGTGGGGGGAGGTGTTTTTCTAGGGGGGCCAAAAATGATACCAGGAGAAGGATAACTCATGGGCAAGAAAATGATGCCACTGGATGGAGATTCCTGTTATTTTTCCACCTCTCCCAGAAGCCTGTCAGCCTTTTAAGATATTTATGGATCTTGTTCCCATTATTCCCAGTTACTGTGACCAACCCATGGGAGTTGTAGTACAAGGCATCTTAAGAGCATGATAGTCAGGAAATGTATATAGGGTTTGATAACTGAATCCTTTTCTTGCCTGGGTCTGGCTTCAAGGCGGCTTCACTGGCTTGCCCCTCCTCTCCTTCCCCAGGTACATCTTTGCGAAAAATCTCTTTGAGATTGGCCACCTGACTGAGATTGAGTGGATCATTTACCAGGATTGGCACACCTTCCTCCTGCAAACCTTTGGGGATCAACTTGCCCTCCATGGCTTTCTTTATCTCCGGGCACCTCCAGAGGTAAGTGAAAGGGCAACTAGTAACTGTTCTGTGTTCGCTTCCAAGCTCTCTCTAGCACCATTTACTAGTCTTCCGTGTTTTGCCATAATGAAGCATCTCCTGTTTGAGCTGCTCTTCCTACCTGACGTCTCTTTCGGCTGCCTTTGGCTCATGTTGTTCTGTGCCAGGTAGAAAAGAAAACTCGGCTTGCTCCAGCTCCTGAATTCTTCTCTAACTCAAAATGTGGTAGAATAATTGCTGGACTGTGAAGCCCAGTAGTGAATGCCCCCCTGCGTCAATTAGGTGTCCTGCAAATGGTGCCTGTTCAGTGGGCTTTAGGGAGCGATAGCCAGTCTTGTGAGGAATCGCACAATTCATTTATGGAGCAGGCCCCCTGTTGAGTCTGAGCCTTGGCAGAATGGGTCTTTCCTATCCCTTTTCTTAGAAGGAACTCTTGGGGTTGTTAATTTGGTCAGCCTATTCCCAGGGGCTTCAGCAGGACCCACACAGGGGAAAAGATTGCTCATCCTCTCTGGCAGGAAACCTCCAATATTCATTGTGTAAAAGTGACAGGCCTAGCCCAAGGAACTCCAAGAGACAATGCAAATTCAGTTCAGCTATGTTTATTAGC